AACTTTTGAGTTTTAGGACAACACAAAAAAGACAGTTTCTTGGAGAATGATGCGTATCTTTTGTGGAAAGACCAGGATTCCATGGAATGATTTCTGCCTTAGCAACCAGGTTGAATCCACAGTCATCCTGCTAAATGTTGCTCTGCTGAGGTTTGATCAATTTGTAGAAATGTAGCTCTAACTTCCAGCTAATTGCTATTTTAGTTGGTGCTTATTATTATCACTAAACATTTATACTACAGTTCATCAAGCTTTTTCAATCACAGTTGACACGTTAGTCTACTAACAACTGTATAGGTAGATTGACTGAAGAATTTATCATCTCATATAAATAGCAAATATAGAGGCTACAACAATCACAGTGTATACTTGATGTATCTCTTTTACTTTTTGAGAGTAGGATGAATTTTTGAAAATAGAAGGGTACACTGCTATTCCTCTTTCTCTTGACCCATACTAGAACTTCTCTTTAGGGTAACCAGCCCTACATTACCCTCTCATCAACTTTGTATCTCCGCAAGCCAAAAAAGCTGAGAGAACTTTCTAGGTGAAGTGAACCTCTCAGGAGACAAGTGAGAGCTACAGAGTGCTAGTTGTATGAACAACAGTGATGGAGCTGAGATTTTCTGGAAAAAAACTCAAACCACTAGATCCAAATGGTTGTGTCAAAAGCTGCTCTGTTTGCATATGGACATGTTTTCCGTCTTGCAAGTACCAGTGTGTTCTTGGCCCCCCTAATTTCCTTTTCTATTGCCTGAATAGCAGAAAAAAATAAAATTCATTGCTGCTACTACTTCCTGGAAACTCCAGGCATCTTGTGGATCACTGCAATTGTGCTGATTTGCAAATCCTGAAACCAGTACCTTATATCTTCTAAGTCCCTTGGTTACCTACCCATGGTCCCATAGAACTTTGGTGAAATTATTATTTCCTGACCTTCTAATTAATCCCTTTGGTGACAATGTTGTAGGAAAATGAGGAACAAAGCACAAAAAGACGATTAGAAAAGAACCTGCCACTAAAATCATTGTTTCTAAGAGCACATACTTGCAATATGTTTGAAGAGTCACAAAAATCCAGAACAATGTGGAACTCACCCACCTGCCAAGACCTCTCTTTATTTTCTAGTTTATACACTATTTCTTATTTTAGATGTTTCTTTCTGAGAAAGAATTTTACCTTTTTAAGATAAGTGCTTTTTTTAACTTTGTACATTTTTTTGGGCAAAGATCTTGGAACTGGCATCTGCCAACAGGAAATCAGTTGTCAGAGGAATTATTAATGACTGTGTACCAGATACATTTAAAATCTTCATTTGTGTTCTTGCATGTATTGTGGATATTCAGAAATTTCGACTGAGTGACTTGCCTGGAGAACGTAACTGTTTTCAGCAAACAATAAGAAAAGTTCTTGAATACTTTCTGCTTAACTTTTTTCATAACCAAGTAACTACTCATGTATTTCTTCCATGATTAACTAACTAGTTCATTTGTGAAGAAAAGATTTCTGAAGCCATTTGGAATAGTACCCTATAGTGACTTTACTGCTGTAACAATAAACCTGACTTCAGAAGTGATATTCCACACTTTTTCTAAGTCTTGCTTTCATTTTTCATTCTTCCTTTTGATTCTTCATTTAAATAATTTCCTTTGAAAAGCTGGAAGGCATTTTGGAACATCCTCTGCTATTTGCCAAACCCAGGTTATGCCTACCATGCAATACGTGCTGCCATTTCCATTAAGCTTTAGAAATGTCTGCTTTGAAATTAATTTTTAATCTTCCAGTGGCACAAACTTCCAAGAGGGTTTGCTCATTTGTTACTGCCCTCTGTGAAGCAGGAGTTGCTTGTGCCTAAGGCAGGGAAATGCAATACACTACTAATTATTTGTCTCATGTTGCATCATAAATGGTTATCGGTTGGCCAGAGCAACTTATGCCAATTTTCATTAATAACTTAAATGTGAACAACTCTGTATAAAGTAACTTCAAAAGGAAAATATGTCAAATTGTTTTCCCTCGAACTTTTACAATCTAGTAATTAACCATATATTGCACTTATTAATCTCCATGGAACCTCTACATTTTACACGTGTGTAAGATAGAAGAGGGGAGACAGGTAAACAATGAATTTTTGAGGTTTTATCAATAGTCTTTTTCCCCGCACAATCCATGGACTATGATGAGCCCCAAACTTTTCTTAATCTTTGATTTCTCTTTAGAGGACAGCATAGTGGCTGTGTGTCCACGTACAGCTAACAGAGAAGGCAGCTGATTGCTGGCCAGTTTGCCCTCTGTTGTTCTAATAAAGCAATTTGAGGCAACAGTAACTACCTTCTGAACTCACAGAGTGACAACTTAAAGGTTTTGAAAGTAATCTTAACTCTATCCTACTGCACATTCAGCTGGTGATTAAGACATACATAATAGACAATGCCTACTAGCAGAATATATGGACTTGGATAATATTATGGATTTGTGTTTAATGGGAAAACATGAAATTAGTACCCGTTCTGGGTTATACTGAAATGACTGGATATTTTTCATTAAAAGCTGTTATGAAGACATTATGATCTATTGATCATAATGATTTTTTTTGAAAAATGAATATAATCATATCTTCCTGGAGTATAAAGATTTTATCCCTGTCTCGTAAAATTAGTGACAATACAATTTGCATCCCTAGAACAAGAAATCCACAAAAATGGTGAGGGCTTTTGCTGTGGAAGATTAGCGAAGATAATGATAAGATTAAGGTCAAAGAGAACAGAGCATCACTTGTAGAGAAAATAGTTATTCCTTTAGAGAACTCCTTAACTAGGCTGGTTGTGTATTTTTCTTGTGTTCCCAAAGGTTCACCTAGGATCACCTATCCTATCCTACCTAGGATCACTTCTCTCCAGATTTCCTTACAATAGCTTATTTTGAGGAGAAATTGGCCACCGAAGTTCTTTCTGAACTCTTCTGTATAGGATTCCTCATTATTCAACAATAATTTTACCAGGTCTGTCATTATGTTTGATGAGGATTTTTAAACAATTTTTCCCTGACATTTCCATTTCTGTGCTTTATTTTTATACTTTCAAAAGACTGAATCACCTCTGGCAAATATCACAAATATAAAAATTGTGTCCCATTGAACTGGGGTTTACAGGTTTGCTTTTTTTAAAACATCCTATGTAGTTATTGGTAAACACAAAATATCACTACTTTGTAACAAAAATTGTAGGACTTAGCAAGCTTTGAATACCTATTTATGGCATATATTAGTGTGCCTGATGTTGTCATACAATGTGATGGCATGATATGTTTATGATACTGTGATATCATGTTGCATGTGGATGATACCATGGCATCATGGTTTATATGTATATGATAGCATGTTAACAGTAGAAGAACCTCCTCGGGCACCACGGAGAACCAGTCTCATCTGTTGATTCAGGAATACTAAATGACTCCAAGGCCCTCTTAGGTCAGAAACAGTTTAAAGCAATCTGCTGAGTTTACAGGAAATTTGCAAATGACTCACGATCAAAAGGAACCTAAACAAACCTTGTGGGATTTATGCTAAAGCTGAGACTAAGGCCAACACTTCCAAAAGCAAACAGCAGTTTCTGAAGCTCAATTTTGAGTGTCTGATTTTGAAAGGGCCTTATTTTAACAAAGAGTTGCAAACCAAGTGCCCCAAACTCAAAACATTGCAAATCATACATTTAAATTCATGGGCTGTTTTACACATGCTCCAGCCTGCAGAAGCAGATGTTGCTCTCTAAGGACTTTCACAGGAGACCAAGATGTGAATCTTTCCTGCTTCAACTCCAGTGAAATTGAGAAACTGTTATTTCATTACTGTGTCATCACAGCAATGGATGCTCTTGTTCCTCTTCAGAGTTCTTTGTCTCCTGGCCAGGTGTGGTCCAGTTGGGTCTGGCATGTACTGGAGGTGACGTGAATTCTTGATGGCTTTTCAGTGGATATACCTCATGCTTCCCAGGACAGGCCCTGGACCTGGAATGATAGTGCCTGGAATTAGTGCTTCCCAACAAAGCAAACCAAGGGGTTGGACTCTAGGAACATGTTCCAGGATACCTTTCCTGCTCTCTTGGACCAGAGGGATGGAGAACAGTGAGTCATATGTCCAGGACATCACATTTTTAAAGGATAAACCATGGTACCAAAGGGCACATGTTTTCTTCCTGTGTGGGGCAACATATCTGTGTTCAATGAGAGGGGGAGGGAAGCTGGGTCATCTACACCAGAGGTGGATGTTATTTGTAGGAGCATGGACAATCTCCAACAGCCTTGCTGGCACCTCTCACCCAGGAGACGGATATGTCAGTGTGGGGAGAGAAGCAGGTATCTGACCCTCCTGTCTGGTGCCTGTCCTCACAGGAGTGAGGAAACAGGGACAAACCAAAATCTCTGCCTTTGGGCAGCCTTGCCCTCATTTAACCATGAAAGCTGGGTCTTGTTTCATTGTTCTGGACATCTGCCTGTTCTTCCACAAAGGGACAGGACTAAGCAGGAGCCTGCTGCGCTCATGACAGTTGATCAGGCTGCTACAGGGCTGCTGGCCAGGCCATCATGATAGAACTGATGGCCAGGCTGCCATGGGGGTGATGGTGAGTGAGGCTACAGTGAGGGTGATGATGAAGCTGCTGTGGAGGTGATGGTGAGTGGCATTGAGGAGGGATATCCTAGGCAGCTTTGGGGGTGATGGCTAAGCCGTTGCGGGACTGTCAGCTGCTGCTGCTGCCATGAGAATGACGGCAGGGATGCTGTGGAGGTAGCGGTGGATGCTGCCTTGGCTGTCGTGGGGCTGACGGTGAAGCCGGTGTTGGACTGACAGGCGGGGTGCCGTGCAGCTGCCTGCTCGGGGGCTACAGAGGGAGAGCCTGCGCCACTGTGAGGGTGACAGCGAGGGGACCGAGCCGAGTGAGCCCACCTCAGGCCGGAGCTGCTGGGGGCGGGCGCGGGGACCTCCTCCCCGAGGCCCCTCCGCCGCCACCTGCCCCGGCCCCTCCGCAGCCCCGCCCCGGTCCCGCCGGAGGCGGCGGGGGTGTCGCTGCCGGGGGCGCGCGGGTGGAGGAGGAGGAGGAGGAGGCGGGAGGAGGAAGGCGGCAGCAGCAGCTCTCGGGAGGAGCCTGTCCAGCGTGAGACAGCACATTCAGCCGGCGGCGGCGGTCCTGCCGCAGCGGCGGGCGGCGCGGCTTAGCACGGCTCGGCTCGGCACGGCTCTAGCTTAGCACGGCTCGGCTCAGCACGGCGCAGCTGCCGGTCTCGGCCATTCAGTCAGCGAGGCATCACTCCCCTCTCCCGGCGGCGAGGGCTCAGTGAGGGCTGCGCAGCGCCGGGAGCCCTTCCACATCTCCCGGGCGCCGGCGGAGGTGAGGCACCGGCGGGGGCGGCGGGGCCGGGACGCGGCGGAGGAGCGAACGGGGGCTGCCTTTGGGGCCCGGCGGTGGCCGCGGAGGAGCCGGGCAGGGGTCGCTCCTCGGGATGCGCCGCGGCCGCAGAGCCCGGCGGGCGGCCCGGCGGGGCGAGCGGCATCCCCGGCTGCCCAGAGGGACCGGCCGGTCCTCGCCACGGGTGGGCTCTGGCTCTGCCACCCCGGCGGCTCCTCTGCGGGAAGGGCTGCGGGGAGCGAGCCCCGCCGGCCTCGGCGGCACCTGCTCCGGTCCCTGGGGCGCCTCCCGGCCCCGGCCGCGAGTGGCCGCCGCAGGTTCCCGGCTGGTGGCTCAGCGCTGAACAGCTTAAAGCAAAAGGGGGTGGCAAAAGTTTTCCATCTATAATTTTTTTGCACAGCATAAGCAGTACCGGGTTTATTCAAGTCCACGACGACAGCGGACAGTAAATAGATCTTTTTTGCTTCCTAAGGTAATTTCCTAAAAGGGTGAGAGAAGGAGGGAGTCAGTCAGAGGCCTTTTTTCACCGGTAGTCCATTGAAATAGATTTTCAAAAGGATATTATTACAGTTACATCATGCCGGGAATCCCTCAGGGTCAGCAGAGAGCATAAGACCCCAGATATTTCCTAGACAAAGCCCTTGAATTACAGACTGGAACAAAATTTGTTTTTCTGTCTCTCTTGCCATTGAAAGTACAAATTTCAACTCTAAATGCATATAAAATAGGGACTCTCAGCAGATAAAGCAATCTAACTTGCTGGTAAAGGGGTGATGAGATGGAAAGACCTGATACGAAGTTGGCATGTTACTTTGGCACCTGGTAATTTATCCTGGCACACAGGGTTTTGTCAGTGCTTCGATTCTACATGAGGATGTTAAGTTACATCCGAAATGATTCTAAATATCATGAAGCACAGGACTGCAAAACCTGTTTCAGAATGGAAATCCAAATCCCAGGACCATCTATCTCCTGATAGGTGGTGTTATCAGAGCCATTGAGGAATTTAATTTCTGTCACTATCAGTGTACTTTGTTGAAGTGCCTCATTTCTTCTTGCTAAGTTAATAGGCAAAAGTTACATGTTTTCTATCCTGATGCTTTAAAGCTTTTTTTAATATACTTTCTTTCCATATGAGAGGACATCCCTAGGAACATTCTCCACACTTAAGAAAGGCAGATAAAATTCCTTCTGTAGTTTCTCTGTAGCATTTCTTTCCAAGAGTGGGTTTCTTCAACTCAAACCTTGCAGCTGCATCCAGATCTTCTCCCCATGGGAGTGCTCACTCTGGTAACCATCCTCTGCTTTATTTTCTTTTCCCAAAATCATCTGTTTATAGACCACAAAAATAAAAAATGTGTTGGCCCTTCTCTACCTTCTTTGTGAACAGTGTTTTGAGGATTGGGACTTGACATCGTCTTCCTTTGAATGTGTAAGACTTCCGAGGGCCAGGTATGTGGAGATCCAAGTGGCTGTTTAGAGTTGTATTAGCTAGATTTCTCCTAGCTCTAAGCATTTCTGCTTCAAATTAGTCTACCCAAAAAATGCACTAATGGCAGTGCTGCCTTATCTTATTCCTTTAAGACAGGAATCTTTAAAGGAGCAGCAATAAACCACACCCTACATACACATGCAGTGGTTACTGGGAATTTGGAAATCTGGCTACTCAAAAAATACTCAGGGAAAAATTCTTTGGTACCCTGAAGATCTTAAATTAAGAAACTGACCTTCCAGCTCTTTCTATAGGAGGAAGGGCAGTGAGCTGCCCTCCTTTGTGATGTCCTTCAGTTGCTATTTTTTTCATTATTGAAATGCATTTGTTTTCCATTGTATTTTTCCAGCTTCAGGTTTCTGGTTCCTGTTATGCCTCTCATAGATAAAAGCCTTGCTTTAGCAGCTGTCTTCAGTGTAGGTACTCTAAATGATGCAGCAAGAACTTACCTGCTTTATTTTCAAATAAATTAACAGATCAAGTCTCTTGGTCTTCTTTTCTTTTGTAAGACAGGTTTCAAGAGTCATTCCTTGCTGCCATTTGTTTTCCAATCTGCAAGAAGACAGAGAGGGAATACTAGGTAGAGCTGGATGGAGCGGGTTGCATTAGAGGTCCCACCATTGCAGGATATTGGACAATGGTGTGAAATGGGCTGGAAGGGAAAAGCATGAGGGATCAAAATAGAAAAAATATAAGGCATTGTTGTTTTCCAAAGCTTCACCAACTCCTGCTAATGATTCAGATAATCACGTGGTATCTTTCAGCTCCTCAAACTTAACTTCTGCTCATAGAGGTTTAAAATATGCTCATGATTCCTCTCTAAGACTACTCAGGCTTGTTAACCAGAACTATGCCTTGAGTACCTTGTTAAGGTTCTTAGGCTTGGTTTGACCAACAACAGAAGTAGTAATTAGTAATCTTTCAGAGTCACTGATGCCTAGTGCCAAAATGAGTTGCTACTTGGAGGTGGTGGTGGAATGTTAACAGAATGATCCTCCCTGTCCTACCCGTGAGATTTTATTTTCGTGGAAGTTGGTAGGAGGTAACATTGAAACCCTCTCTGAGGTGCATGTGGAAATTCATATCTGCAGAGATATGGTCTCAGGCTTCCTGCAGCCACAGCCAGACATCCTGATCTCTCAGTGCAATACCCATCTGATACTTTCAGACTTTAAAAGCTTTAAATGAAATAGTGTCTGTAGATGTAATCTGCATGTTAAAGGGACATTTTCTGGATGAAATACCAATGGAGTATGCTGGCAAAGTGCCCTTAGTACAGATGTAACTTGTGTTAGTAAAACTGTGCTTTTACCAGTGCAGCTTATTTTCATCATCTGAGCAACACAAGTCATACAGGTGAGCACACATTTATGTGTCCATGAGGGGCCTTGCTTTCCGGATGAGGGATTGAATGGTCTCCCCCTCAGCTGGCATATGTAAGCAGGCAGAAATGAAAATGCAGGAATGGTATTGCTTAACAAACAGAAAATCTGAAAAATGTGAAGTGTCTGAAAAGCTGCAGTGGCAGCCTGAGACCCTGGCTCAGTCTAAATCTCAGAGAGATGCAATATGTCCCTTTAGCTACTTGGTAATTATCTATCTAAAACAGTGCTATGCCTTTTTAGTTAGAGATGACATTGGAAGCTGTTGTTCACTTGGCCATCTGCAAGCTTTCAAAATAAGGCAGTATACATGAGCTTGCTCCACCAGTACTGTTCATTTTACGTGGCATTATCTTGCCAACTTTTTGGGGAAATGGCTACTTCCAGGCAGATGGCAGGAGCTGCAGGAAGCTGTGAAGCAGACTGATGTGTGAGCCAGCAGATCTTATAGATACAAGACACCTCTGATCATCTGTGACAGGTGATGTACCAACTCCTCCTGAGCTTAAAATAAAAGCCCCTCTTTCTTTTTTACTGTGCTTCATCAGCACTTTTTGTCTTCCCTTTTTGAGGCAAAAGCATTCTGGAAGTTCAGTGCTGCATGGAGAAAGCATGGAGCAGGAATGACAGTTCTTGAAGCTTTTTATGGGCAGCACACCATAACTCCATGATGAAGTTTTAGGGGCAGAGGGCTCACCCTGTCACTGCTGACAGTAATAGGAGTTTTTCTGTGACTTCTCTGGTGGTGACTGTAGCCTCTAGAGTGATGGCAGAAGTCAGCTAGGTACACTGAGAGCCACAATGCATCTCCAAACTCTATTAAAGGCAATGAGAGCCTATGCATTGATTTAACAGACTTTGGTTGAGGTCCTGTACAACTTCTGCATTGACCTGTGTGCAGATATCTGTGTTACCTGATGAATAATCACTGCTTAGATGACTCTTGTGATTCTTGGCTGTTAATCTTACAGTAAAAGTACATTATCCTATTTTACATTTAGCACTGCTCCCATGCATTTAGATCAGCTTGCCTGATCCAGAGAGACAGGTTACATCAACCTGAGGAGCAAACCTCCTAGGAGCCCTTCTGGAGCAGTGCAGTTCTACCTTGTGTGCTTCTCAAGTGCTGGCTGACTGTCCCTGCTTGGCCCTAGAATAATTAATGAATAATTCGACAGAGGGAGAAGGCTCATGTACTACCACTCAGCAGAAAACAATTACAGAGGGAATCTTTTAAGGACATAACTTTTTCTTTTCAGTGATATCTTTTCTTCACTTTTTTTTCTCTCTTTCTGTTGTTCCTTTTCTCTTTTCCTCAATACTTGTCTTACCACCACATTCCCTCCTCGCTGGTATTCCCTTCCCCTTTGTCTTCTCTCCCTGGCATAGAACTGATTTTAGTTCCTTGCTCTTTTCTCCCTCCGTCTGTGGTGTGGTACAAATAATTCTAAATCCTGCTCCTCAGTTACTAATCTTTCACTTCAGCCCAGCAGAAAGATGCATTGTGTTTTGTGTTCAAACAATGGGGAGTTATAGTACGGCAAAGACACAAAACTGCCTAGTATGATTAAATATGAATAAGTTTAGTGGAGGTTGTATTTTTTGTCTGTTTATATCACTATATCCAAGCCTCGCTTGATTATAATATTTTCAGGTTGAATTTGACAGAAAAATCTGTGCTATGTTAGTATTGAAACTATGCTATGTTAGTGTTGAAAGTTAATCACTGTAGGTCTTAGACCACATGCAGAGAAAATATGGATTTCTCTTGCTTTAAACTGTTCACTCCTTCTGTTCTATATCCATTAACACAGATCTTAGCTTTTAAAGGGCATAGACAGCGGTATTAAATCCCTGCTATTCAAGGCATGCCCTTGTTTCGTGTTTTGCACATTAGGCCACCACTGTTAGGATCAGAGTGGTTACCAGGTCACTTGGTAATTGGGGCAAAGACATTTCAAATGATTGCTATTGTATATTTTCAGAAATTAAAATATTTAACAAAACAGGGTCACATTTAAAAAAACAAACCAAACCCAGACTGCATCTAATATAGTTCCTTATATTTGAACCTGTCTGTCCTAGTTTAAGGACTGTTCCACTGACAC